TATCCATCCATCTAATTATCTATCTACATACTAGATAGGTCTATAATTATCCATCCATCTGTTCATCTAGCCATCTAATCATCAATCTATTAACTTATTTATCCATTTATTTATCTACCTATCCACCCACCCTTCTTTTCATCCATCTATCTATCTATCTACTGTCTATCACTATGTTTCTATCTCTTTCTCCGGCTGTCTCTCCCTATTTTAGTCTCTCTGTCTGTATGTTTCTATCTTTGTATTGCTCTGTATTCGTCTGTCTATTTCTTTGTCTTTGTGCCTCTGTCTCTGTCTCCTTCATTCTGTCGCTCTCTTGTTAAAACTCGATTTTCTGCTATTGATGTGAGGATGATCAATGTGCGAGGAGCTCAGTGGTGTGGTATATTAAAACAAAAATTACACTTACCCCATTTTGAGAAAGTGGCATGACTTAAGAAATGTTTGAAGCTGTTAGAGGATCGAAGTCATGTTTCATGCAACTACAGGCAAATTGTGGATAGCACGAAATTTCTGTTAATTTGTTTTTCCGAGATCAGTGAATAACGGTGTACAGAATTATAAGGAGAAGAATATTTTGTAATTGTATTTTTCAAAATATATGGCTATGTAGCCATCCAGCTTTAACAGTGCCAAAAATCATCATGTACCTCTGACTGTGTCTCTAGCACGCTGCTTTCTTGTGAAATCTTGCCACTTCGACTAGCCTATGTTCATCCCGTTCCCCAGACTATTCCCTCTGCCAAATTGGGTGACGCTTGCTACAAGCCTTTGGCCTTTAACTTTAGACAAATAGACTAACAGAGAAACATAGGTTCTCAACAAATCTACAAGGGCATTGACTAGGATTTGAACCGGCGTCCGTGAGTATGCCAGACGCAGGTTCGAATCCTCGTCACGGCTCTTATGGATTGGTTCATTTGATGCATTACGCTATTGTGATTTCTGTGTGTAAACATTGGTTCTCTTTTATAGGTACAGATACATGTGTACCTATCAGTTCCTCGATCAAGAAATACTGCCCTTCCTATGGAAGACAATTATTTAGTCCTTGTGCATGAAAGAAAAAAGTTGGAAGGTGATCAACAAACAATCAAACCAATGTCATCATTTTGTCTATTAATCTTACTTCAAATGAAGCTTTTATTATTGTGATCTGATTGTGTTCGGCACCCAATTATGAGCTTTATATAACCGATCTACAGGTGATGTCCAGGACACTGCAGGTGGATTTGACCGTTGTATGCAAAACATATTACTTCTAGAGCTGCAGATATTAGTTATAACCAAAGGTTATGAAAACCTCATCAAAAGACTCCCCAGGTATTACTTAAATGAACAGAGCCAGAAAGATATCCTCTGCCATAACTACACAAGAAAGTGTGTTTAGTGCCTTTGTTCTCAACGACTCGATAAACAACTCTGAAGCCCAAACCTTTTAAACATGACTGCCAGCTTAATGTTCATTATTCATATATTTGGTAGCAATATTTATTATGGTAGCGGAAGGCTGCTTGTATATGCTGACGAGAAATCACAGGCGATGCTGAGGACTATATGCTGACGAGAAATCACAGGCGATGCTGAGGACTAAGGGAACAGCACATAGCTCCTGAGACAGTCATATTAATGAGTGGAAGATAGATCAAAACTTTACTGATATCGCATCCTCCTCCTCTCTTTCCATTTTTGTTCCTAATCAGTACTCCGAAATGTAAAGCGACTTATTGCAAGTCTTCAAGTGTCCTGGCTGCATTCCTAGATATAATAGTTAACTAAATTGAAAAGTTGGTTGCAATGTCATGTATAAAGCATCGTTCTCAAGAACCTCCACCAGGCTCAGTTTTGTGGATAACCAGAAGATTCAAAACAAGACATTCAGTCAGCAGCATTTTTCACTTTCTACTCTTTCATCATCACCCCTTTCTCATTCAAACCTCTCTTGCTCCCCTCCTCCTCCTCCCCTCTTTTTTCTCTCTCATCCTTACCCAACTCTCATTCCGCCCTCTCATCCCACCCTCTCATCCCACCCCTTCTATTACAGCCCCTTCACTCCACACATAACCAGATTTTATCCCGTGGCGAGGAGCTCTGGAGGCATAACTTGTACTCCCAGGTCGTGTCGACTATTCCTTTGCAGTTCTGCATATTCACTCCCCGTCGATGGATCAAAGACGCGTCTCCTGCAGCGTGCGGCAGAGGAATATATTTCAGATAGGATTGGAAAATATATTGTTAAAGTGAGAATCTATTTCCGCCCATGTCAAAGTAATTAATAACGCTGGAAAGTAAATGCGTTTTGAAACTGTCCGGTTGTGTACTCAAATTAGAGATAAAAAATTCGTCATGTCTATTTAGGCCCGCAAAAACGTGATATATTTGGTGGATATGTTACAAAGATATGCACATATTACCCGAATATTAAAGATCTGTTTCACAAATAGGGAAAACAGAAAGAGAGAGACTCGTGGAACATCAGAAGTTCACAGCCTAATACCAGAAAATCGTGTGCCTGACGAATAAGAAGAGTGCTAAGAGAAACAGTTGGCAATAAGGCTAGGCAGAGAAGGATGTGCAGATTGCTTTTTGTTAAAACTTGCAACAAAACACTACGATTGAGATCGTCACATAACCTACGTAATTAATTCGGTCAAAGGCATTTATATGCAGTCACGTGAAGCATGCAGGAGATGCCGGCAGAGCACTCAGCTGAATGAGACACAAGAGGCATTATATAAATATATATATATATATATATATATATATATATATATATATATATATATATATATATGAATGAAAACTCACACCCCAGAAGTGACTCGAACCCATACTCCCAGAAGCAACGCAACTGGTATGTACAAGACGCCTTAATCCACTTGACCATCACGACCGGACATAATGAGGTGATAGCCGAGGCTATTTGAACCACCCCACCGCCGGCACTCGGATAGTAATCTTGGGCATAGCATTTTACCAAATCTCCTCATTCTTTGGGGCACACGTGAGGAACACAAATGCGAACAAGCCTGAATGGTCCCCAGGACAATATGCAACTGAAAACTCACACCCCAGAAGTGACTCGAACCCATACTCCCAGAAGCAACGCAACTGGTATGTACAAGACGCCTTAATCCACTTGACCATCACGACCGGACATAATGAGGTGATAGCCGAGGCTATTTGAACCACCCCACCCCATTCAGGCTTGTTCGCATTTGTGTTCCTCACGTGTGCCCCAAAGAATGAGGTGATTTGGTAAAATGCTATGCCCAAGATTACTATCCGAGTGCCGGCGGTGGGGTGGTTCAAATAGCCTCGGCTATCACCTCATTATGTCCGGTCGTGATGGTCAAGTGGATTAAGGCGTCTTGTACATACCAGTTGCGTTGCTTCTGGGAGTATGGGTTCGAGTCACTTCTGGGGTGTGAGTTTTCAGTTGCATATTGTCCTGGGGACCATTCAGGCTTGTTCGCATTTGTGTTCCTCACGTGTGCCCCAAAGAATGAGGTGATTTGGTAAAATGCTATGCCCAAGATTACTATCCGAGTGCCGGCGGTGGGGTGGTTCAAATAGCCTCGGCTATCACCTCATTATGTCCGGTCGTGATGGTCAAGTGGATTAAGGCGTCTTGTACATACCAGTTGCGTTGCTTCTGGGAGTATGGGTTCGAGTCACTTCTGGGGTGTGAGTTTTCAGTTGCATATTGTCCTGGGGACCATTCAGGCTTGTTCGCATTTGTGTTCCTCACGTGTGCCCCAAAGAATGAGGTGATTTGGTAAAATGCTATGCCCAAGATTACTATCCGAGTGCCGGCGGTGGGGTGGTTCAAATAGCCTCGGCTATCACCTCATTATGTCCGGTCGTGATGGTCAAGTGGATTAAGGCGTCTTGTACATACCAGTTGCGTTGCTTCTGGGAGTATGGGTTCGAGTCACTTCTGGGGTGTGAGTTTTCAGTTGCATATTGTCCTGGGGACCATTCAGGCTTGTTCGCATTTGTGTTCCTCACGTGTGCCCCAAAGAATGAGGTGATTTGGTAAAATGCTATGCCCAAGATTACTATCCGAGTGCCGGCGGTGGGGTGGTTCAAATAGCCTCGGCTATCGCCTCATTATGTCCGGTCGTGATGGTCAAGTGGATTAAGGCGTCTTGTACATACCAGTTGCGTTGCTTCTGGGAGTATGGGTTCGAGTCACTTCTGGGGTGTGAGTTTTCAGTTGCATATTGTCCTGGGGACCATTCAGGCTTGTTCGCATTTGTGTTCCTCACGTGTGCCCCAAAGAATGAGGTGATTTGGTAAAATGCTATGCCCAAGATTACTATCCGAGTGCCGGCGGTGGGGTGGTTCAAATAGCCTCGGCTATCACCTCATTATGTCCGGTCGTGATGGTCAAGTGGATTAAGGCGTCTTGTACATACCAGTTGCGTTGCTTCTGGGAGTATGGGTTCGAGTCACTTCTGGGGTGTGAGTTTTCAGTTGCATATTGTCCTGGGGACCATTCAGGCTTGTTCGCATATATATATATATATATATATATATATATATATATATATATATATATATATATATATATATATATATATATATATATATATACCAGGATTCGAGGATATATGCCAGGGTAGACCCGACCAGGATTCGAACCCATGCAAATAAGTTCCCTGACTCCACTAACACTTACAGACGATTACTGGTGCAGTGGCCATGGTACCAGTGCTGTTGTTGAGGAGACCTGTAGCCACCTGGCTAATAGAATAAAGATCTAGAAAATATACTTATAACTGGTGAGTAGAATAGACACCCTGAGGAGACTTTTCCTGCGTCTCCTAAGTGGAATAGACACTCTGAATCCATATCTATTGCTAGTTAGTAGAATAGACACCCTAGAACTTACCTGTTACTGGAAAGCAGAAGAGATACATATAGAATGCAATCTTTACTCGCTGATTGTGAATAAAAAAAAAGTTCACATCAGACACACAGAAATCTCTCCTTACCTGCAGCCACAATCTGGAAGACGCAAGGGTTGGCCTGCTGACCAATGTTGTTGGTCGCCCAGCATAGCAGCGTGCCGTAGTCGAGTTCAGTGACGGGTGTGTAGTTCACTACGGACTCTGTCCCTTTCACCACGTACCTGTTCCAGGGTGAAGATCACGTACATCATAAAAATAAGAAAAATGTAGCAAAAGAAGCAGTCCAGCACATCATTCAACCACAGTGACAGTGATCTCCAGCAAACATTGATGGACAAGTAAATTATACAACCGTAATTGAAATATAGAGCGTTTATGGGTCGTAATGATATATAATAGATTATTTCTAAGCGTTTATCGGTCTATTAATAAATATTGATGGTATAAATATATATATCCCTCGTAATGTCAAAGAATGCTATTAAATATTCAAAATATCATTAACTTCTTTCCATGAGAAACCATTCAAGCTTTGGTTACTGCAATATATATATATATATCTAACTATGACAAATCAACTTAATGATAAGCCATAATATGAAATAGGCCCATGAAAAATTCATAACGATAAATCGTAGATAAGTCACAGTGGCATCACTCAGTCATTTTCAATAATAGCTTTATAAGTAATTATTTCAATTAATTTATTATTTCTAATGAATGACTAATTTGTCGTAATCATTCGTAATTACAGACTAATAACTATCAATCAAAGTGACCAATATCTAATATCTCAAGTATATTAATATATCTTTCCACTGTTACAAAATTAATATATCACTTAATCATAATGATATAAAATTAAGCCCTAACTACTAGTGTGATCGCTCATAACATAGGCTCTAAGTATGTCATTAATTACCCTCCAATTAGATCCCTTGACCTAATAACGTAATTTATAAAGGCGATGAGTCACAATAACGTGGCTGTAGTAAGTTGACCAGACCACACACTAGAAGGTGAAGGGACGACGACGTTTCGGTCCGTCCTGGACCATTCTCAAGTATATTGTCTTCTTGTAGTGTGTGGTTTGGTCAACAACGTAAGTTAATTTCAAAAGAAGTTAGTAGATGGATGCATGGTAGTTATCGTGGATAATTGCGGGAAGGGGGGGGTATTAAATTTTTTTTTGTTTTTTGATGAGGGTTAACATCCGTGTCTGGTCAACCAGATTTACCAGAGATTGTCTGAGAGAAAGGTTAGAGACACCTTAGTGAGGATGCCTGCTTCTGCTGATTAATTGCTGCGTCTGCAGTTGATACAGTTGATGATAGTGCCTCAAGTGGTGCTGATTTTAATGTTGCTGTTGCTGATGAAGTGCCACCTGCTGCTACTGATGTTTGCTTTTGCTGTTGATACTGCAACTGAGGATGTTGTGTTGTTGCTGTTGCTGATGCAATTTCTGATGTTAGCGCTGTTGCTCTTGCTGCTGCAACTGAAGATGATGTTCCTGAAGCCTTTTGTGTTGCTGAGGACAATGATGCTGTTGATAGTGCTGCTGTGAGGATGATAATACTGCAGAGGATGCTCCTGAGGATAATGATGCCGTTGTTACTGCTGTTGCTACGAAGAATGGTGCTACTGCAGATACTGCTACTGTTACTGGTGCTCTTCCTGCTGCTTATTCTGTTGCTGAGTTTCTTGTTGCAGGTGATATTACATAGTTTTTATGAGATTGTTAAGCTCTCTGTGTCTATCTCTTTCTTAAAGCCGAAAACAGGAGCAACAGCCTACATAATCAGCTGTCCTGAGTATGATATAACATTTTTTGCCTATCTGTATTTAGACCGAGAATAATTAATTAATCAGAAGAATCAGGACAGGTAAACTGTGATACCTTCCAGACAAATTTGTACAAATTCAAGAAGTGGGCTGTGAAATGGCTGCTAGAATTTAGCGCAAGAAAATGCCACGTTATGAGAAGTTGAGCAGAAATTCGAAGACCAGTACTGTAATATAAGTTAAAATGGAGACAGATTCATTCTCCAAAGTAGGAAATAAACGTGGGGAGTACACATAACCCTTACTTCGGTTGCCAGTAGCACACATTAGCAATTTAAAGACAGCAGCCTATGGCATTCAGTCCAAGTTCAGTGAATCATTTATAAACGTAGAAAAACGGGCTTTCCAGGCCCGGTAACATCAAAGTGGAGCCCATTCTTGAATATGCATTCCCCTGCGTGAAAATTTCACCAGAGAAAGAACAAGATAAAAGGGAGAATATGTCCAGAGAAATGCAGCGAGGCTCGTCCCATACTTGAAGGGTTCAGCAATGGGGGAAAACAGAGAGAATTTAAATTTACAGAACTAGAGGAAACGAAAGATATGGGGAAACGTAACAACTTTTAAGCTTCTTAGGTAACTTGACAAAGTAAAGAGAGAATGTTTGTGCACTATTAAGAATACAGGAACAATGGGTCACAGATAGAAACTAAAGACAAAAAATGTCTCATAAATGCTAGAAAATAATTTTTTCACTTTGTCATCTATAAATAAGTTGGGTTAGGTATAGAAGTTGCTGAAGTGAACTCGTTGTATGAATTTAAATGTAAAAAATTTAAAAGCGTGATAAATGATTCATTGCATTATTTAAAGAACGGCCCGAGGGCGTTGCTTTAGCCTAGATAGTCCCTGCAAGCAAATCTAGGTTACCATGGGTTGATTTCGGGGATCAACGTCACCGTTGACCGGTCTCTGACTGACCAGGCCTCCTAGGTGAGGACACACAGTGGCCACATTCCCTAACCCCCTCAGTACTTGCGTTATCCTCTCCTCTCGAAGCTCGCGTGCAGCGAAAACTTGTTTGAGATTAAATTTTCCGTAAAAAAGTATTTCTTTGCTTAGTTCGTCTTCTTCTTTTTCTTGTCATAATTTTTATTAGTAAAAGTAGTTGTAGTAGTCATATCTTTGATTATTAATTTTAATTCCACGAGTCGGTCAAATAAAACATAAAGAGCCTGCTGTTGTATATAATGGCCATTCAAAATACAGGCACACATATAAAAAAAAACAATTTGCACCCACTCTTGCAGAAACAGGTCAGGCAAGCTCCCCATTGACCTGAGGGAAGCCACTTAATTATTTAAGCTTTGTAGCTTTATAATGTTTGATGTCCAAATTAGCCTCGAATTGAGGACAGGAAACCCTACTTTCTAGGAGAGTCACTAAACACTTACCTACCCTTCCTGAAAATAATTAAATTTGAATTTGTTTCAGTGCGTGTGTAACGCGTATTTCGGGAGAGGTTTCCATGAAAGGCATGCTGTTATTTAATGGGTTTGTACCTTTGACAAAGGTCTACATAACGGGTATTATGCGTTGTAATGGATGTGTACATTGGACGTTTTTTGCTTGAAAGACTTCGAGAGATTAAAGCCATGAACTCAGTCATGAAGCGACCAGAGCTCTATAAAGCCTCTTGAGTAAACTCGTAATGCTAGCAGTATTGTAATTCTTGAGGAGAATACATGTAACGACAGAATCCTGGAGTAAATTTCTAGTTGGCCATTTCAGTGAAGGTATACAAGACCCTCACTCTATATAATTACTTCGCAACACACAGCTTCGAGTTGCAATAGCGAATCCCACAGTATTACTCTCAGGAATTGACGCAATTACCGAGATATATGTAACTGAGAGAGGGCCACGCTTGTGATGGTTTGCCTGATAACTCAAATTTTTACCTGGTATGGAAACGTTTGTCCTGGTAAGTAAAGTTTTTGCCAGGTTAGTGAAGATTTTGGCCTGGTAATTGAAGTAAGTTTTATCCTGGTAAATAACGTTTCCCGGTGTTGATATATTTCAGCAGCCGTGTGAGCACTTTAAGCCATGTTAATGGTATAGACCTTAACCGATTTCCAGCAGCCAAAGTTAGGACTTTGAGACTGAGCAAGATCTACTCAGTACTAATAAACAATTTTCCAAACAAATGCAAAATTTAATACCTGTTTTCTCAGCGTCGTTGAACGGACTTGAGTCACATTATCAGCAGTGGCACACTCCATGATAAAGATATATGCAATTAACGTGGGAAATTCAACGTCATGTAATTTAAAGATATTGTTTCTCGTTAAATAGTTATATGCTTCGCGGATCAAAAAAAAGCATTATAGAGAGCTTAAATATTCCAAAGGACACAGGCTTGGAGGATTATCTTTGTCAGAATTAAAGAAATGTAACTAAAAATAATGAAAATACTTTTCATTAAAGGTCCTAAAATTGAAAAGGTCTGAAGCAATTGTGCGATTTTCGAAATAAATCAAAAGTAAGATTAAATAACTCGATAAATCGAGAAAGACTTGAATCACCTCATTGTTCAAACCTGTCATACTATCACATATTCGTGTCAAAACCGCTATAGTACATGCAAATAGCATCGTCTTTAGTATTAATTTATTTTTTAAGTATACCAAAATTATTACTAAAGTATATCCAAGGAAGCAACGTATGCTGTGGCCGGGTATTCAGTAAGGTCGACCGCCCACAAGTGTTCGAGCAGAGTTTCATCCTAATAAGCGAATATTTTATAAGTGCTCTATCTAATCCTGCACTCAAGCACTGGAGGAAGTCTAAGAGGCATTGGCGAAAATTTAAGTACGAATACACTCAGAGAACAAGTGCCTGCACTCAGGTCTCCCGGGAAGATTATCCATGAATAAAACAGAGCTGCATTTAACAACATGCTTGAGTATATTTTTAACTGTGGGAGTATTTACGTGTATTAATAGTTGCCATAAATATTTATTTAATGTGAGTATTAAGAGAGAGAGATTAAATGAGTATTAAAAGACTGTTAGTGAATCTGAACTTGGGTGTGATTTATTCTTAAATTATAAGAGCTTTCCTTCCCCCTCCCCATCCCATTCCGGCAAAGTTCGTTGACCTTCCCTGAGATAAGCGAAGTTCTTTGACCCAAAATAATTGAGCAGAAAGTTGCCCGAAGCAGTAAGAGCCGTCTTCAGAGCTAATAGAGGCATTTGAAAGGCATCTCCGAGGTCATGAGAGGTCGATGTACTGTAGTTATTTTTGTTTCTGCATTGCATGCTGTTTAGGTCTGCAGATGCTGCTTCAACACTCATTCAAGATCACAGGAAATACGATTTTAATATAATATAGTCAAACAAAAAGATAAAATAGCGTTTGATTATTTACCATGATAACAATAGGGTTAGCCTTGCGACTAATATTATCTTGGAAGACAAATTAAAGAAGCGAGGGATAACCTAAGATAACAATGAGTTTAGCTTGGTGACTTAGCATACGAAGGCCAATTTGGAATATCTTATTGTGATACACAGTGTATTTTTGTTGTTTATCTGTTATCTGTATGTAATGCAGGCCACATACACCATGCTGTAAGTTCAGTATGTAGTTTGTGGATTATGTAATATACACACGCCATACAATATGTACTCCATGTACGTATTGAATGGTGATCATCTTACTGAATTCTCTTACGTATTATTATACTTTGCATTATGCGGTATTATTTCAGGAAGCAGATTTACCTGTTAAATTTACACGAAAAATTAGACAATGTCATAGATATCGTGGGAGAACCACAGAGCTTGTATCTGTGTTGTCCTAGATTTTGTGAGTCTTCAAGAGGTCTGTAAAGTGTTTTCAAATCCGGTAGAGTCTTGTAGAGCACTGTAGAGTCCTGTTGGGTCTGGTAGAATTGTGTAATGTTGGAGGTAAAGCACTTTTTCATGATACTGAATGTGGTTTTTTACTCTATCAATATTTAATGCTATGTCTGACTAAAGACTTTGATATAGGCTCTGTAAATAGTGTAAGGAAAGGGGTAACAACTTAATACACCAAAGTGATCTTTTAGGGAGTATTTACGATTCCATAAACCACACAGAGACGAGAGACTATGACCGCTGTGAGAGAAAAGATGTATCATTCTGTGGGCCCGTCCCTTCCCCCACTTAAAGGAGATTTTGCAGTCGTGGTTTTGGTTCGTTTCATCCGTTAGTGGATGAAACGAACCGTTCAGATGGAAACGAACTACAACTTGAACCAAATGTTTCTTTAGTTAAGTAGTGGGAGATGACCAGTATACCGGTATACTGGTCATCAATGTTGTTAGTTAATGTACATGAAACGTTTGACAGATGCAACGTTCATTATACAGTATCTTAGATGTCTTGGCAAATCTTGACGGGGGGAAAGAGAAACATCATGATTGGAAAGATAACATGATACCATGATATAAGCTTAACGTGAATGAATATAATATATCTACCGGTCTCCCGACACACTAAATGAAGTGGCAGAGTATGCGGCTCGCAATACCTTGGTCGCTGGTTCGCATCTCCTCACAGCCCCGGTGGATTTCCAGAATGGATTATTATTATTATTATCTCATCACATCTTCATCTCCTTGATCTTAAAACTCCATCTTCCTGACTACACTTTCTTTCCTATTTATTGTTATAGTTCTAAGTGGTATTTGATGAAAGTCTTACATGATAAGCGCCGTTTTCTATTTCAATAGAAATATTGAAATAGAAATAGAAATTCACAGCACTCAGCTAGGTGTTTCATAGCACACATACTTCTCCCCAGTCAGATCTCCTAGCTCCGGCCGTAACGCTACTGTCATCTCCCTCGCTAAGTACTTACTATTTGCTATTTGTGTCTGCAGAATTAAGCTTTTAGCTTTGGGACTCAGCCTTTCTAAGCAATCTATTTTTCTTCTATATATCTACTATATATATTTCTTTCTAACACACGCACACATCCCCAGGAAGCAGCCCGTATCAGGTATCTAAATCCCAAGTACCTATTTACTGCCAGGAGAACCGGAGCCTCAGTATGAAAGAAACTATGCTCATATATTTCCCCCTCGGCTGGGAATCAAACCCGGGGCCCCCTTAGGACTATGATCCCCGAGTGCTGTCCACTCCGCCACCAAAGGAGAGCAATTGCGAACGAAGGGAACTCAAGGCATAAGCAGTATATATAATGCGTTCTAAGAATCAATTAAAGACATCAAAACGCTTACAGCCACCGAGACAGCGATAGTAAGACCAAGCTTATGTCGCTCATATCCATTCTTAAACACACACACATACACACGCTGCCTCATACATAACTAACGATTCCTCATTTTATTTTTTGTCCACCTACGTGTCTTTGCAATTTCGCGTGGAGGCAAATCCTCCTCTGGATGATGGTGGGGGGGGGGGGGGAGGGGGGGGGAGGGGGATCACTGCACACAATATCTGTCCTGCCGCCACAGACAATATATCTTGTGCAATATCTCATCGCAATTTACATAGTGGCAAGAAATGGTGTTTACTAATACAATATTACAGTACTGGGGAAATATTTGACTACCTGGTTCGCCTGCACCATTCTTGCTGTGATCATATATCGTGCAGGAAGAGGTGACACAGACACGTGGGACGAGGGTGACATAGAGACTTGGAACGGGGTGACATAGAAAAATGGGACAGGGGGGGCTTCTTTTTGGGGGGGGGGGTGTGGAAGAGGGAGGGCTTTGGGAGAGAGGAGACTAGAGAGAAGGGGTCGGCATTTAGTGAGGGGCTTGCAGAGGTTGGGGCAGGTAGGACGTCTATTACGTGGAGGGTAGGGGTGATGCTCCACTCACTGCGGCTGCTGTACTGCTGGTGGAGGGTTCCCCACTCCCCTCTGGGCTCTGGGCGGTGGTTTTCTCATTATTTATCTCTCCTTGCGCTCCTTCCATGAGGCTGCTGTCCTTATTATTTCCTCCTTTGTCATATCCCCTTGCAGGAATACCGTTTTGAACTTCGCTTCACTTAATAGTTTGCTCTTCCTGGCTAATAGGTCCTCTTTTGTGTTCTCGCCCGTGAATACCACCTTAATCAATCGGTCTCTGTTTTTGTTGTACTGTCCAAGCCTGAACGGTTTGTACTGGCCAAGCTTGAACAAGCCAAGTTTGGTTTATATGTGTGTGTGTGTGTGTGTGTGTGTGTGTGTGTGTGTGTGTGTGTGTGTGTGTGTGTGTGTGTGTGTGTGTGTGTGTGTGTGAGTGTGAGTACATAATGTTTAGTTGTGTCCCTTTGATCTCTTTTAATATTAAACTGCAATCTCTCTTTGTCGATCCGGCCAGTCTCCTTAAGAGGTTTTATATCGAGTGATCATTTTTTGCCTCACTCTTCCTTCTGCCAGGGAAACTAGAGTTACTTCTTTCGACCTTTCCTCGCAACTTATAGCTTTCAGGTCTGGTACATGTCTGTAGCAAAAAAATTCAATTTCTCCCACTTTTATGTGTATTGAACGAAGTGTTTATTCCAAGCTGTAAACGCATTTTGCCAATCAATAAAGTGCTGACAAGTATACAATATTGTGAACGATTCTGTATTATTATGTAAATAAGCAGTTAGTGTTGTCTAAACTTGCATAAGTATGTGATGATATTGTGTTGTTAAGATCCATTTAAATCATCCCTCAGAGATTTTTCTTGTAATATTTTCAAAATGTCTCCTATTTTGTATTATATGTTTGGCTTTCTTTACCTAGAGCCCAGTTGTTTTACTTTGTAATTGCTCGAGTTAAGCTTAAGAACACAAGTGTTAGATCATTCTTTGTTTGCATTTGCGTCTGTATTAAGGAGGTAAAAATTATAAGAATGGTAGAGATGATAATATCCAGAAGGCAAGATTGTGAGTCCCAAGGATCGTATTCGATAGTCTTTACGAACGTGGGGTAGATCCTCGAGTTCTTGTTCTTCTCTTTTATTGGGGCTTGTGTAAGCCTCTGATCAATTTCGTATGTGTTTTTTTTAACATTACTGATATTCATTATCTAACTATTATCTAGTTATAGCAACTGGATGGAAACATTCTCTTTTGTGTCAAGTTGTCTAAATGAATCTAACTATTAACTGCTTCAAAATGCTAGTGGTTTTGTTCAGTACTTCTGTTTTATTTAGAATTTATTCGACAGGTTCTCTCTGGTCTTTATTATATGTTTTATCTACTTTCTCATTAAATCACCTTGTTTTGTTTCCATTTCCATAAACTGCCTCCGCGCCGTGTTCCCATTCCTAATTGTAAAGCAAAGCTCTCCTCAATAACATTAAGTTTGATTTGCATCTGTGTTCACGATGCCGGGTTAGTCCACTTGTACGCCGGAGCAGCTGCCAACATGGTCATGATTCCTTTTCACTCGTATTGTTATTTCGTAGTCAGACAAGTGTGCTTAGACAAATGCTTATGATCAGATGTTAAGAATATAAATATGGGCTGGAAATTTTGTGTGGATATCAAATGACTACTTACGAAATACTGTCATAATCGGCTTTTATATGTACATAAGTTTGTTTCCGTATGAAATCTTTCGAGTTCATTATTCGATTTTGTCTATCTATCACTTCTATTCATCACTCTCTCCCTCTATCATCCATTTACCTCCTCTCGCTACCCCTTGCCATCCTTGGGATCAGTGAGGAGATGGGCTTATCGTTTATCTACCACTGAAGTTCTAATAAAAGATATTAACGCCAAAACACAATTGTTTAGGAATCTCATAGTATCCGGAATGAAATTTTGTTTGGTTCTACACCCTAAGTTGAGGCCGTCCATAGTGATTTGTGATTTAACTCGTGTAGTAATTGTTCACACATTATGTGCACCAGCTCTGAGACTAATTTAGTGGTAAACCTCTCGATTTATTAAGCTGGCAAAACATGGCCATTATATTAATGCCTTTTTATAAATGTGATCAATGATCGTCTCGATCATTTTTCTAGTGGTTACGATACTCTGTACGCCGAGTGTACGCCAAGAGGAAATAACTTTTCTTTTAATGTCTTATCGTTTTATCTTAACGATCTCCCAGACTCCAACTCTTTCTCTCTGTCCATCCACCCGTTGTCTAATTCCGCTGTATTTTCCCTCGTTCTCCTTTCTCTCCTCCCTTCCGAGTTTCCGTACCAACCCTTTCTTTTCCCCTTCCGTCCTACCTCCCATCCCTTTCTTTTCCCCTTCCGTCCTACCTCCCATCCCTTTCTTTTCCCCTTCCGTCCTACCTCCCATCCCTTCCCTTCCCTTCCCTTCCCTTCCCTTCCCTTCCCTTCCCTTCCCTTCCCTTCCCTTCCCTTCCCTTCCCTTCCCTTCCCTCTAATCCCTACCCGCCGCCAGCTTCTCTGTTATTATCACTCACCGGTCTTCGGGAACGCTGACAGCCTCGGCGGTGTTGTTGAAGGCCCACCTGAAGAGGACCACAGGGGGGTTGGCCAACACGTTGCAGGAGATGCGGGCATTCTCGTGCTTGGCCACGCTGTGTTGAGACGCCTTCTCGGTGGCACAGACGGGGGCGTCTGCGGCCCAGTCACGCCACCACAAGGAGATTGAGAGAAATATAAAGGCAAATGCGTTAGTATCGTCGAAAGCAGCAGCTCTGCGTGCATGTGTAGTCTGAAGAATGCAGATGACTGTGTTATGTCTTTCTGATAAGCAAAACGCTTTGTGGTAAGGTTTCCTTGAGTTGTATTTCATGGTTCTTTATATAAGCAACGTATATTTTTTCAATATATAAGGAACATTTACACATGATTTCCTTGATGAATACTACACATCAAAAAATCATGAAATTATTAAAAAACGGTTGAAATTTTTCTGAGCATAACAATCTTTCAAAGTCAATGAAATATATTCTAATCAATTTTCATGCAAGGATCTTGCTTTACCTATCCAAGAAATAATACACAACTCTATCGATAGATTTTACTAGGGGCTTTAATTCTATTACCTTTATTCAACATTTCCGTTGCATAAAACGTACGTAATTATTTAATCAACGCTTCGAAATCGTCATTAACATTAGTGGATTACTAAGTGTGACAACTATAACCTAATCTTTATCATATATAACACGTACTAAGCTGAGTAAGCCCTGAAAACTTAATAAACTGTGATAACTGTAACACATACTTACTAGTGTAAGCCATAACAAATACTTACTAGTGTAAGCCATAACAAATACTTACTAGTGTAAGCCATAACAAATACTTACTAGTGTAAGCCATAACAAATACTTACTAGTGTAAGCCATAACAAATACTTACTAGTGTAAGCCATAACAAATACTTACTAGTGTAAGCCATAACAAATACTTACTAGTCTAAGCCATGACAAAATACTAAGCTGTGTTAGGAATGACATCTTAGTGAGCTGTGAAAGCCATAACAGCATGGTAACTTGTGCTAAACATGACAACATATTAAACTGTGTAAACTATGAGAACAGATTCTCAACTTTAAGAGCAAAATGCATATCGCTAACAAAGCGATATGCAATTTTTCCTCATAACTGCATAGCAATTATGAGGAAAACACCTCAGCTTCTTGAATTATTCAGTTTTACACGTCAAATCATACAACAGCAAAACAAGGAAAAATAATAATAAACAGATTTGTGAAGTACATAAATGGCATTAAAATTGGGGAAAACTCACATTTGACGTCCAAGGGAATTGGTTGAGAGGCGGCCGAGCCCTCGCTATTGGTGGCGTGACAAATGTAACTTCCAGCGTTGGCCCGTGACACCTTCTGAAGCACCAGCGTCATGTTCGTCACCAACACCCTCTCTGCTGACTGCAGCTGCACCCCCTGCACGCCACACCCGGACGAACAAGTAATTGAAGAAGAGTAGTGCAGAGATTTTTTTTTAGTGTGATGCGCCCCACTGTTTACATTATCAATCATTTGTTCATAAAAGGCTTTTTAAATTTTCTTGTACTATATATATTTGTTGGTGACTAACGTTTTGCCTTTTATGGGAAACTACGTATTCATTCACTCAGCTTAAAAAAATATATATTATAATAAATTATGGTAAAAAATGTCAATTTTCCTGAACTTACTCGCAGTTTTAGTGTTGAAATTTGTTCGACATTCCCCCTGCTCGAAATAAATTCAGTTTATTTGAATTACTTGCAATAATATTGAACAATTTTATAAGACTATCACCAATTCCCGCTTCTGGATATCAAACACTCAATATATATTTCGTATCTCTAACATAAAAGATTTTGTGTGACTCTCCTACACGTAATCGAGTCAACACTCGATTACTCTCCTATTTTTTTTTTTTTTGTCTTTTCTTGAGACTGAGCACCAGTCATCATCCAATGCAGTGTTGACATTAGATATATTACAGCAGGAACGAAAGACTTCTTAACGTTAATATTTAGTCATATCTTTCTGTTGACTTTAGACTCTTGAATCCTCCAAGGTCAAGATCTTGATGACCATCTCTGGCGTCATGCGCTGGCTAAGAAAATCTGTTTCATTCTGTTTCAAAATCTGTTTCATCTATTATTCTTTCATAATACCGGCCTTGTTTCTAAACACTGACCTCCTATCTAAACACTGGCCTCCTCTCTAATCAATGACCTACTTTCTTAACACTGGCCTCTTATAGCTAAACACTGGGTCTACTTTCTTAACACTGACTTCCTTTCTTAACACTGACTTCCTTTCTTAACACTGACTTCCTTTCTTAACACTGACTTCCTTTCTAAGCACTAACTTTTCTTGACACTGATTTCCTTTCTAATTCCTGACCTTTTTTCTTATCAACATTTCTTTATATGAAATAACTTTCTAAACTTATTTTCCGATCGGTTTTGTATCGTCGCAAATATACAAGTGTTGCTGTTCAACCCTGCGTAAAAATCTAATATATATATACAATCGTAAACAAGTGAGGTCCCAGTTCAAAGCCCTGTGGCACTCCACCAGTGAAAGTCTCCCATCAGACTAAACTCAACAAAATGACCAGGCAAGAACCCAACCCAAGGTAACCTCTACCAATATCATGCTCCTCTGCCTTCATAATGAGTCTTCCCAGTAGCCCAATACCAAAGGCTTTGCCTAAGTCATGTTACATATTGCAGCAAACACAACACTGGATTTTTAGAACTTATATAGGATGCTGCGTGATGATGACAAGAAAGTCCAAATCACGTTGGAAAGCTTACTGGAAGATACGATAATACCAATTTACATGAGAAATCCATGATGTGAAAATCCATACACGTTGGAAGACACAACATAAATTAATATATATATCTGTAAATTGAATTCATTTTGACGTGACAAAATAATAGCTACGTTATTCTCCAGGAGACAGTTGAGAAAAGTGAGTCTTATATCAAACTCTGGTATATGAATCGTTGTTTTTGCTCTATTCCACCCTAATCTTCCTCACTTGTCGCTTTACCATTACCCAATTACCTTCATAACACTCCCCTTTCCCTTTCTATCGATCTCCCCTTCACTAACTCCATCCCATTTCCCCATTCCCACACGCAGTCATTGCTCTCACAGCGACGTTGACGCTTCCACGAGGCAGAAAACACTTGTATTTTGTCAACGTGGAGCGAATTCACCGGATGCGTGACACACTTTATTCAATAGACTTAATGGGCTTCAGGTCACTGACACAGAGACACACACACACGCACACACATACACACACACGGGAGAGAGGCGGGACCAAAAAGTCAAAACTCAACCCCCGCAAGCACAACTAGATGAGTACACATACATACACATACACAAACACACACACACACACACTCATTGGGTAGAATTGATAGGGTAGATAAAGACAGGCTATTTAACACATGGGGCACACGCACTAGGGGACACAGGTGGAAACTGAGCGCCCAAATGAGCCACAGAGATATTAGAAAGAACTTTTTTAGTGTCAGAGTGGTTGACAAATGGAATGCATTAGGAAGTGATGTGGTGGAGGCTGACTCCATACACAGCTTCAAGTGTAGATGTGATAGAGTCCAGTAGGCTCAGGAATCTGTACACTTGTTGAATGACGGTTGAGAGGCGGAACCAAAGAGCCAGAGCTCAACCCCCGCAAACACAACTAGGTGAGTACACACACACACACACACACACACACACACACACACACACACACACACACACACACACACACACACACACACGCGCACACACACACACACACACACACTCACACACACTCACGCATACGAAGAATATTGCTCAAACTGAGCCATAAATCCTCACCCTAGGTTTTAAATTGTAAAGTAATGTTTGCTGGGAGTGTGATGGACTGGGAAGGGGGGAGGGGGAGAGGATAGAGGGGATAGAGAAGAGGCAAGAGAAAATGTGGGTGAGAAGGAAGTGGCAGAAAATGGACTGCGAAGGGTAGGATGAGACTAGATAAAAGTGGAAAATACTGAAAAGGTAAGTGGATAATAACGAATGAAATAATGATAGGGAGATACAGAAGCAGAGAGAGAGAGAGAGAGAGAGAGAGAGAGAGAGAGAGAGAGAGAGAGAGAGAGAGAGAGAGAGAGAGAGAGAGAGAGAGAGTGAGTGGGAGTGAGAGAGACAGAGAATGGCGAGTGATGGAGGGATAAAAAGAGAAGGGATTAAAGGATCAGAGAAAGGAAAGGATGCTGGAGGGAAGGAGACGGACAGAGGGGGAAATTCGAAAAATTGGGGGGGAGGTGGTAGGACAGGAGAGGGAGGGTGGAAGAGGGGTGTTACAGGGAGAGATGGGAGGGGAGGGGAGGTGGGAGAGGAAGAGATAGAAGGGAGGGGGACTCGAAAGATATCTAGAGGCTGCCGGATATGTCCAATTGTATATATATATATATATATATATATATATATATATATATATATATATATATATATATATATATATATATATATGTCGTACCTAGTAGCCAGAACGCACTTCTCGGCCTACTATTCAAGGCCCGATTTGCCTAATAAGCCAAGTTTCCTGAATTAATATATTTTCTCTAATTTTTTCTTATGAAATGATAAAGCTACCCATTTCATAATGTATGAGGTCAATTTTTTTTTATTGGAGTTAAAATTAACGTAGATATATGACCGAACCTAACCAACCCTACCTAACCTAACCTAACCTATCTTTGTAGGTTAGGTTACGTTAGGTAGCCGAAAAAGTTAGGTTAGGTTAGGTTAGGTAGGTTAGGTAGTCGAAAAACAATTAATTCATGAAAACTTGGCTTATTAGGCAAATCGGGCCTTGCATAGTAGGCTGAGAAGTGCGTTCTGGCTACTAGGTACGACATATATATATATATATATATATATATTGGTGTATACTGGCAGCAGGTTTTCTTTCAAACATGTTTCATTGAATATGACCGCATATTCTGTATTAATTATTTTCTGGTTTAGGGCTTCTATCCCTCTAACTATTTTCTTAGCATCAGGGCTTAATTGGAATAGGAATAGGAGTTCTATATAGAACTCCTATTCCAATTAAGCCCTGATGCTAAGAAAATAGTTAGAGGGATAGAAGCCCTAAACCAGAAAATAATAAATACAGAATATGCGGTCATATTCAATGAAACATATATATATATATATATATATATATATATATATATATATATATATATATATATATATATATATATATATATATATATATATATATATATATATATATATATATATATATATATACACAATGTATGTGTGTGTGTGTGTTCTATATGCAGTTTCAAGTGTAGATATAATAGAGCCCAATAGGCTCAGGAACCTGTACACCGGTTGATTGACAGTTGAGTGCCGGGACCAAAGAGTCGTAGCTCAATCCCCTCCAGCCCAATGAGGTGAGTTCTTTCTTAGAATCGGACGAAAAATAATGTAAGAGTAGCAACACTATAAAAAAAAAAGTAATTCGTATCAAATTTTAAATCTTTTGAAATAATTTGTTTTTAATCCTAATTGATTTTACATATCAATATATAGACATCACAAATAATCAGAGAGATAAAAAACGTTAAAACAGTGCAGGTATTTCCGATAAGCAAGTGTTACGTTTAATAAATTACGATTGCAATGTGTGAAGGTTTCCAAGCGTGTTTTATGAAAGGACAGAATGAGATTAGAGAGAGAGAGAGAGTGAGAGACACGAACACACACAGTGGGATTTCCGTCTTCGGTACGGCAGTTCACCCACTGTGGGCGTGGGATATGACTCTGGGTTTATCCTCTACCACTGAAGGTGGCGTGATTCCACTCACAAACACGCCAGAAATAGTTCAAGATTTCACCTTTGATATGTAGCAAGGAGGAAAAGGTTCTTCAAATTTGCAAAAGTAGGAAGATAAGGAACATAAGTGTATTGACGGACGCTGTTATGTGGTAGAAACGTTGATATTAGCGTGGCGAAGAATGAGAGATGGGTACAAAACACACACAAATTCACACTTCTTAAAAACGCACAAGGTGAAATCTACTGTGCAGAAGGGCATTACTCACACGGAAAAAAATAAGGGCAGCTATTGCAAAATTCACTCGGGCGTGTACCCAACACCGTGTAAAAATGTACAGCCATCTATTATAGTAAACCATGTACGCCGTCCACAGCGCTGTGTATTGATTATTTCCTGTTAATTTAAACATAGCATTCGTGCTTCCCTTTATAATACGTTTCACATGATATTATCTGCAGACGACGTACTTTGATAAGGTGACTTGACATAGTACTTTGACGGGGTGAATTAGTATGATACCATGACATAGTGACCTGACATTGTGCCTTAACATGGTGCTTTGCATGGTCAACATTCCAGAATACAAACTCTTCAACCATTAATAGAATAAATATCACGTCATCATAAGGCACAACGGTATTATTTTATTGAATATTCTTTAGATAAAGTGGTTCTGCACGTGAAAAAAGTAAGATGAATTTTATATCAGAATTATTGACAGTTGTCTGGCTGGGCCTGGAAATGATACGTCCAGTTGGCCCTGTATATCATTGCCAGCCAATCCTTGATTATAACGTTGCTCCCTAAAAATTGAGATAAAAATTCGATGATAAAACTGCAGCAAAATTTTATTGAAAGAGGATATAGCGAGCAATTACATATTCCTAAACTTGTTAGAAAAGATAAAAACAATTTGTAAACTTTGAACTTATATATCAAGCCAATCCTTGATTGTAATGTATATACATTCGAAAATTCTTGATCCCTGAGGAACTCGAAATCTGTAAGCCAAGGTTTTCATCACCACCCCAAAGCAGTCCAGTGCTGTCACCACCTAACTAGAGATTTTCAAAAGTATTAGGAAAACGTTGGACCCAACGCCCAATAATGCTGTTTGGGTATTGGGTGCCTGTAGGAAAAGAAGCGTGAGGCTGGGAGAGTAGTAAATGAGTGGAATAGGAAGAGTGAGAAAGTGAGTGCCGGAGATGAGGAGCGAATTTCTCACTATAATGGAAATTTTGTCTGTTCCTACTTCGGGCCAGATTACCAAATTTGTGCCACGTATATTCTCTTGTTTAGGGGGCCTCGTAGCCTGGTGGATAGCGCGCAGGACTCTTAATTCTGTGGCGCGGGTTCAATTCCCGCACGAGGCAGAAACAAATGGGCAAAGTTTCTTTCACCCTGAATGCCCCTGTTACCTAGCAGTAAATAGGTACCTGGGTGTTAGTCAGCTGTCACGGCCTGCTTCCTGGGGGTGGAGGCCTGGTCGAGGACCGGGCCGCGGGGACACTAAAAAAAAAAACCCCGAAATCAACTCAAGATAACCTCAAGATTGTCTCTAGATTTCATAAAATTTGTAGAATTTTTGAGTTATAAGCAAAAAAGTAGCTAAGGTATCACATTAAATACTTATGCTCTCCATATGAAAGACTTGGGAGAGGCTTAATTACCAACGTGATCCCACCCACTTGCAAGCCTAATTAGGTGTTACTATTGTGTTGTCTATAAGGCACAAAGGTTTCTGTCTGTGGCTCCTCGTTTGTTCGCTTATTGTTTTCATTTAATTTTCTACATTTGTATTTGTTGCTTTTCAATTGTCCTGTTTGTTCGCCCAAATTGTTTAACTGTTAACCTTTTCCATCAGAGATTATCAGATATTTTGTTCAACACATGTTTAAGACAAGACAAGAGACAACAAGACCGGGTGCTCAGCATCCCAACACTGTGTGCTTCTTAAAATTCCAACTGATGTGTCCCTATCCCAATCCCAATACGTGTTTTGCATATGTGTGGTAAATAGATCATACATAGCACCTTTATTGGGAAAATATACCGTACAAAAACTAGTTTTTTGAACGGTGAAGATCCCTGAGAATGACCAAAATAGTGTCACTGTTATTAACAATGTTTCGAGATCAACTCTTAGTATCATAGCTGCAAATATCCAGCAATGAAAATCCTAAATTCTAGCTTATTGCACGAGGAAATATGATGATGCTTACGTTGTGGCTCCAGGTGACCTTGTGAGGGGGCGGCTTGGCGGTAGCTTCACACTCGAAGTAGAGGTCATCCCCTTCCTTGATGTTGGTAGGGACCAGATTCCTCCCCAATTTCACGCTCACCAGCGGGGCGTCTGCGGCACAAGAACACAGCTCTCTAAGAATATATATATATATATATATATATATATATATATATATATATATATATATATATATATATATATATATATATATAACTATTACTATAAATAATAGGGCATGTTCGAGAAGAGAATATTAAAGTTGTCAGTGTGAATCCACACAAGGTCTTCTCTGAATACTCGTTCTTTTCTTCTTCGAGGTTAAGGGTCTTTACAATTGTAGCTCGCCAAAAGACTCCAATGGCTCCTCATTTTATTGAAAATACAAATTTAATCTAGTAATTGAAGGGATGCTGAGAATCGGAATATTGCTAGTTTGTATACCTGGCATGAAATATAAAGCTGTATTGAACTAATCTTCAGTGAAAAGAATCTGCATTTATTTTTTCAGTAATAGTTTACAGTAATATATTTTTCCTTCTGATGTATATCTTTAACCCGGCTGGATTTTCGAAAACACGCGGGTTTAAAAAAAACAATGTATAAGTGACTTGCTTTGATCTCTCATCGTTCCCATTTCATACCTAAGTAACTGTTGAGAATTATAATAATTGCCAATTATAATGATAATGTGTGTTAGCGCAGGCACACACACTCACACACACACACACACACACACACACACACACACACACACACACACACACACACACACACACACACACACACACACACACACACACACACACACACACACACACACACACACACACACACACACACACACACACACACACACACACACACACACACACACACACACACACACACAAGGGTCTGGTGGCTCAGTGGACAGCAGGCTTGGCACGTAAGCCTGTGAACCGGGGTTCGATTCCCGGCACCGGTGCGAGAAATAATATGCAGAGTACCTTTTACTCTGATGCCCCTGTTACCTAGCAATAAATAGGTACCTGGCAGTTAGACAGCTGTCACGGGCTGCTTCCTGGAAAATATAGTGAGAGTTATGAAAGCATGCGGGCTGTCCGCCTTGCAGTTGAACCAGACAACGTATCACCGTGGATACTAAAAGAGACAGCGCAGGCCCTCGCCGTGCCTCTAGCAAGAAGCTTTAATAATGAGTCACTTACTGATGAAAAATCTTCCAGATGCTGCAAGAAGGCAAATGTGGCACCACTTTTCAAGAAATAAAATGAGGAGATGCACTTAAATATAGACCAATATCATTGAGAAGCAATTCTTGTAAAGTACTAGGAAGAATAAAGAAGTTGAGGTGTAGTGCCATCTCTTAAGAAGCACAGCAACAATCTAGAAACGGTGAAAAGACATTCTATTAAATAGCTTCAGGAACGTAAGACATTCCGCTATTTTAAATGGCTAGAAGCGTTAAACTTCGCAATTCCAGAAACAAATATGGAAAAAGGGTCGATATGATCACTACATACAAAATAGAAACATAAAACGACCAAACAGACAAGGAGGAATTTTTTAAACCTACAACTTTAAGATTAGAAAGTTGGAGACTCAAGTCAAGGAAACAAAGGAGCCAAAAAAATATATATATGAGGAAGTCTTCTTTTGCGAACACAAGTTTTTACTTTCGGAATAAGTTTAGTGAGAAAGCGGTGAATGCTTTAGCCGTTAATAGTTTCAAAACATCATATGTCAAAAATAACTGTTAAGACGGGAGAACACTAACGTTCCTCTTATCCTGTAACCATACGCAGGTGAAAACCTGAAACTACACTTAGGTGATAACACTAAGGCAAATATATAAATACACAAACATGAATTTTGACTGTCGTCTGTGAATTTAGTGAGGAAACAACCGCGAATAAAACCGTCAGGAAATAGAACGAAGCGCAGAGTACAATTTTTTTCTAAAATTCGAGAATGCTTCAATATTTCACAGAATTAATTTATCAGGTGTTGTGAGGAGTGGAAAGTAGATTAGAAAGTTGAGTGCCACACTGGGAGTATTAGCAGCGGTCCAAGAGCTCCCAGGTGAATGGGGAGGCTCCAGTAAACGAGGCAAGTGGGAGGTGCACTTGATGGAGAGTAGAAAATGGATGCGACCTGGTGAATACCTGGGCAAGTTTTCCCCTGCACCCGACACACACCCTCCAGCCGCCTACACTCAGGTAGTACTCAGGTAGTAAACCAAGGCTGCCGTTTCTTGGTTTAATCTTGATTGCTTTATTTTCATAGCCACAAATCACATTTGCTGGCGCAAAAAAATAAAAAAAATGATCAGCATTATACTCAAAATTCGTTAAAGATTTTAAATAAAAAACATATGCGTTCATAATTCTATTGTTTTACTAATACAACGATAGAAATATGAACGCATAACGGGCTCACCATAGCCCAAGCTGCTTGGAACTTTTTGTTCCAAGTAGCGAATCTTAAACAACAACAACATGAACGCACATATGGGATTCGAACTCCATGCGGGACTCGAACTCAAGATTAATATGTAATAACCCCATTGTGCCACTAGGATTTAAAATGTATCCAAGAGCCCCTGTAAGTCATCTGATCCCTAAAAGATGCTCTTTGCTTAGAATGAGGTTCGACTTTTGGCAAACCAATCTCTGGAGTGATATTAAGGACACCACAATGGATAATTGACCAACCAGCAAGTACATATTAGCTCTGAACATTGATCTAGACTAAGTCAGTAAGTATAGTAAGCTGTTAGTAAGTATAAATTATCGAGTAGTTAGGTACCCTCTTCCTTTCTATATATATATCTGTGACGCGTTATATTGTCGATATTAGTCATGAACGTTGGAGTGGATTATAAACAGAGAGAATTTGGTTCCATCTGGGTCTCATGGGAGCAAATAATACGAATTTGAATCTTAAATATAAGCATTGCGTTCAGGTAGCGTGTTTGATTCGTGCGTTTTGCCTCGGGGTTCGAGTCTCACATTACCGAAAAAAAATATATTTTTAGTTCCAAGACATTGTGAATTATTTATAAATCGTTGAAAGAACTTATTGACAATGCGGGATGGTCTTTCATGGCCAATGAATAACATTTTTTTTTAATTCTTTTGATTCATAATTCCGCAGAATCTCAATCTCTCTCTCTCTCTCTCTCTCTCTCTCTCTCTCTCTCTCTCTCTCTCTCTCTCTCTCTCTCTCTCTCTCTCTCTCTCTCTCTCTCTCTCTCTCTGTCAGCACCAACACCAAGGAACATGCCTGCATGCGCTAATTAAATATCCAGTTTGTTTATTCAGCTGGCAGCACGCACAACGAGGGAGACGCTAACAAGAGAGTCATCACTAAACTCCACAAGGTAGTTACACATGCTGTAAATACAAGCGTAAACGATACAGAGCGAGTGACGATGCAGGAGTGCATGCGATTCTTAGTAGCGAGATGTCAGTACGCACCGAAGTACGCACCAGCACGCGCGGAAATACGCTAATTTACGCCGGAAATACGCTAATTTATGGCGTAAAATGCTGTCACCAGCACACTCAATTTCCATCATCCGCACATACAAGTCGATTTCCATTTTTTTCCTCCTCATAACCATTCTCACTTTACTTGCTTTCTCTTACAGATCTACATCTGCACAGTCATGCATTTCCTCCACTCAAACTTAAATATTTTATCAACACACGCACACACACCATCCTCACACACACACACAAACATACATTCCATTCACTCACGCACCTCCCATCCACACGCACACCCAGCCCACACTCTAGTACTAACCTAACAGCTACAACTAACAAGGAAGCGAGGCACACAGGTCCAGATCTGTCCCACAGTAGTCTCTAATAGGTGAGCACTGGTTGGTAAGCTCCCATTGTCGTGCCAGGTGCAAGAACGCAATTAATGTAATTTATTTGCACGTAGATCCTGTGTGATAAGGCGTTAATTACCGACACTCCACAACACACCATTACGGGTCCCCAGGCGAAGTGAACGCTTGGGGGCCCCTAATAGGACAGTCACCACCATGGACACCATTATATTTTTGCATGACGGTGAATCCTGAGTGTGTATAATTCATTAATATACGACAACATACGCGTTTAATGTGGTATGAACGCGAACGTGAAGCTGCTTTTTTATTCATTTACGTTTTATATATATGTAAAATAAACATTCCTGTTACTTACAAAAGCTTCTATGAATGGACACGAACGGAGACGAGCTTTATAATCTCATAATGATGTCTTTCTCTCCGAAGCTGAAAAAATATAGTGTGTGATATTTAAACATTCTTCCGTGTGTGTTTCTCGTTTAAAATATTCGCAGGTGATAAGTCTCGTTTATCATTGCGGTGGTCTTAATGACGAGCGCATATCTGGCCCTTTCATCATTTAAATTTAGTGCTGGAGGCATTCTATGTTTATTATCGTGTCTGTTATATCAGCTTCCTGGACCTTTTTCACACCAGAAGCCATTACAGGAAATTTACTTTTAAAATGCCGAGTAAAATTTTTCTTTTAAGAAAGGCGTTCGAAAACGAAATCATTTCACTTGCTTACGACTATTAGCAAAAATTTCAGATATGACATGAACGCTGTAATCTGTCTGGTGGAGATCGAGAATGTAGTTTACAATGCAGCGACTATAAAATATAATTGACAGTACTGCGGTTAGAAAAAATAGTTGATAACGTATTTGGAAAATTTATCGACAATATCTAAGATGATATATGAATTTTACAATATTTTGAGTGCAAAATTTAAATGTGTTTGACCGGAGAAGTAAAAATAAACAATCAATAAGCGAAGAACACCCATCAGTGAAGTGAACAGCAGTGATATGAGAAAGGTGTTTAAAGTTTCGAGATAATGCACGGTTATCGCTGAAAGGAAACGATAGCGACGTCATATGAAGCGTTATCTAAAATTGCGTTTGCTTGAACACGGCATTGTTCGATATTTTACGATAATTGGCAATAATGCTACGATAATGTGCAATATTCCTTGATAATTTGCATTATATTACTCAACAGTGGACACATTAAACCTTCGTAATTGCGAGGCAGGTAATTAACCAGGTGCATACATAATTAAACTTGAATTGCGGCACATTCGTCACGCTCGCAAAACGCCCTTGTGAACCATTAGCCTAAGTGAGGTGGCTTTTGTTGACATCCCCAGTGACTTGACTCCGTTCCAATCAAGTGCTTTTGGACCTGAATTGTGACTTGCCCTGGCCCGTATGTGCTGGTGAAAATTATTTTTCCATTAACCAAGTTAAAATCTTGTGCTTTTACCCATCAAGTGCTTCGCCTAGTCTAGTGCTTAATTCTATTGATTTGACATATATTATCTAGCTGGCGCATATTGATGTTGTAGCTTTTTCTTGACCTAGTTAAAATGAAAATTATTTTCGCTGGTATACCGCTGTTGTTGATCTGGCTTCTCAGTATCCGTTTTTGTATTTCTTATGACATTCCTTTCAGATATTTAGAGAGACTAATACGAAGGAGACGCGTGGGACACATAAAACCTTTAACTGTCCCACAGAACACGAACATGGGATCAGCGAAGGAAAGCCATGTCAGGCAAACATGTTATTTTGTCCCATGCAACACTGACAGGAAGCGTTAGACACTCTCCCTCGCATAAACCATTTCGTAATTACGCAAGAAAAATGCCGAAATAACTGGAAAATTACTTGCATGGAAAAATGTGTGTGTATTACTTGAATAGGAAGCAGACTTCCTCAGTAAAGAAAGGGAAGCCAAGCGAATGGTCATTAACAAGGTGACTCGAGTGACAGTTTTAGAACATATCTTATTTTCTATAAACATTACTGACCTGGCCGAGGGAGGGGAGGGAATTATTAGGGGAAAAGCGCCAAGCCATTACGACTATATAGCACTGGGAAGGGGTCAGGATAAGGATTTGTGATGGAACGGTCGGAAAGGAATGGTGCCCAACCACTTGGACGATCGGGGGATTGAACTACAACCTGCATGAAGCGAGACAGCTGTTGTACCGTCTACCCCAAGTGGTTGGACAGAGAAAAGTCCTTTACATATCCAAGTTTGCAGATAATATGAAGTTACTGAGAAGAGATAAAGAAAGAAGAAGACAGTATGGGAATATAAAACGGCTAAGATAAATTTTAGTGATTGTCTACTAAGTGACTGATTGGTAGCAACCCTGAATTGTGCAACTTTATGACAATTCAATAAGATACAAGGGAACTCTAGAAGCAACATGAAAACAAGGGGATGTTACTTTCCGTACAAAAACAGGAGCCTGCCGCCACTCTAAGCAGCAGCCTGTTGGACCAATAACAACTCAATACTGAGCCTAGGCGGGCTAAGCGTTGCGTTCAGGTTGCGTGTTTGGTAGCCCCTGTATGGCATCTGATCCCCAAAAGATGCTCTTTGCTTAGAATGAGGTTCGACTTTTGGCAAACCACACAGAATGAGAGAACACCACACAAAACCCACTCCATGTACCATCCAGATACATCCAAATACTGTATACATCATTCGTGAGACCATCACTTGGGTTTGCGCCACGAGAATGGAACCTTCACCAATAAAAGCACGTAAATAAATGAGAAAGTTTAAAAAACTGTAAAAAGATCTCTTTAAGAACTAAGAACAATAAAACTGCATTGAAAGTTTAAAAAACTTGCCATTATCCCAGTTGATGAAAGGAAGGACATTAAAATCGACAGATTTAACAAATAAGATGTATTCACACGGTTAGAAATGTAGGAACGATGGGCGGTCAGTGGAAACTGGAGAGGATTTATAAGACACAGATACATCTGTTACAATATTTTCTGCCAGGGTTGAAACAGATGTGACAGACTACAGGATGAGGGGCACACTAACTCTATTAGAAATTTCAGAGACGTATAATAATAATAATAATAATAATATAATAATTCAATTTGCATCAAGTACATTTGAAATATAATACAAAGGAGCATTCTTAGGTATTAAACATAAATGTTATATCAAACCACAAATTCCCAGTGCGTAATTACGTTAATTAGCAGAATGCTGGAAACTTGAGATTTCCAGGCTTAAACGCGATCCTAAAATCAAATCTAATTAAGAACACGAGGGGCGCGCGCACACACACACACACACACACAGACACAGACACACACACACACAGACACAGACACACACACACACACACACACACACACACACACACACACACACACACACACACACACACACACACACACACACACACACTGAATTAGAAAATAAATACAATTTCTCATATCAAAACGTCTCCAAATCAATTACTTCAAATACTTTCTATCGATGATTGTTCAATAAATCAATGAAGTACATGTTTAACAGATCTCTGACCATATCTAAAAAAGATTTTTAATGGAAACGAACTTGGCCCAGTGATAAAAAGGAAGATAATGACAGTCTGCTTGCAATATATCCGGATAATCAGAGCCTCTCAGGTTCTAGATAATATACTTACAGTTGACAGTGAGGACGGTGGAGTGGCGATGGTCGGCTGGCGGGTGTAGGTGAGGAGATTCGCCTACAATGACTGGGTTGTGGGCAGAACAATCCAGCTGGGTGCCGTCGTGTCTCGCCTGGGGAGTGAAACTCACCATTGACACGCTCCTGTTGCCGTCGTCTGAAACCTGAGGGAGAGAGAGAGAGGGTACAGCACTCAGAATATTCTTCGTGCTCAAAGCTGCAACATCTACTCTCGCTCCCCTGGGTGTTGGTAGACTCGAGCAGCTCTTGTATAAAGTATTAATTTGTACCGTTCTTTTACTTCACGTAAAAACTCACCTGTGTTTATATTTCTTTTATATTTTATGTTGTGTTATCGCCAAGTGGATAAGGGGCTTTGTTTTGTTTGTTATTAAAGTAATTTTTGCTATATTAAATGTTTTAGGAGTTTATTCTCTTTGTATTACCCGCAGCTTTCATAGTTTAGAGGTCACAGGCAGTCTTATTTACTTTATTTTATTTTTTTATTTAATGTGATTGGTACAACACCAGCCACAATAGCCACGGCTCTATTTTCAAATTAACGTCACAATTGTTTCTCAAATAAGTTTAATGCTGCACCTTTGTGCTGCTGACTCACGCCTCCGTTACTGTGTGATACATGATATAATACATGATATACACCTCCCCCCTTTGTATCACTTCTGGTCTCAAGTGTAGTTTAGATTCTCGTTGGGGAAGCACAAGTTCTTGAGGGATAAACTTAACCTAATCTTCCCGGCTTGATGTTTCTTTGGATAATTACTTCACCTGATGTTTCAGGTGAAACAATAACTTGGAAACAGGGGTAGTAGTTTCTACTAACTTGGAAACTTGGAAACAGGTAGTAGCAGTAGTAGTGGGAAAAATAACTTGGAAAGAGGGTAGTAGTAGTGCATCTGAAAGCTGCATATTGCCACTTGCTTGCCCTGATCTCACCTCGGGAGATATTACTCAGCATATGATATTTTCACGTTTTTGTATAAATGTTTTCTATTTCACGTATATTTGAATTGAAAGATGATCTTCTGTGTTGCAGGAATACGTACCTTTTTTAATAAATAAATCTATATCTAAAGAAGTTATTTTTTGTCTGTCCTTGAATAGAGGGTAGACGCTTGTGGGGCAGTCCGAACCTAACCTAACGAACCTTTGCACGGTATTTTATGGAAGGTTGGCCACAGTTCAATTAGGTCTGGATCATTTACATTGCTTCGTATTTAAGCAGTATCGCCTCCAATTATGACTCCTATGATGGTTTCAATTTTGTTTTGTCTAGATATATTTTTAGCAGTTCTGTTGCAGGTATTGCCATGCAAAACGCCAGGTATCACATCCTGAGATTTATATAAATTAAAGCACTGTAAATATCATACGATTTCGCAGAGACCTTATGGCATCCTAATGAACCGATACAGAAAAACAGAAACACTTAAATCTCCGTAGAAACTCAGCCAGAGTGATATAAAACCTTCTGAAGAACCTCAGAATCCAGAGAGATCATTATAAACCAACTGTGACCCTTCTCAAAGTAGTAGTAGACATCCATAGAAAACAGCTCAGACCCACAACAGAGCCGTAGTAACCTACAGTGTCGTAGAGTATGGTACACACGGGGGAAGGAATGATGCAGCGTGGAACTGACCCAAGGCTTGGCGGATGGTAGGAGAGTACCAGCCAGGGACCAGGTGATGGTTGGCG